AGAAGCTCCTTGCCAAGCACATGGTCAAGGTAAGATGGAGCACTTACCTGGGGCAAGATGGAGGGCGTAGCCCTTACCCTGGGGCAAGATGGAGGGCGTAGCCCTTACCCTGGGGCAAGATGGAGGGCGTAGCCCTTACCCTGGGGCAAGATGGAGGGCCTAGCCCTCACCCTTTCATCACCCACACAGAATGCAGGTCTTAGATCCGTTTAGGAGAGGGAAGCACCAGGCCTGGCTCTGTCACGAACATCACACTTGACCCCAAAAGGCAACCTAACTTCACAGGCTCCCATCGCTCCATCTCTATGGATCCAGCTCCTAGAAGCCACCACAGTACATCACAGGGCAAAGGAGATGATGAGAGCAACACATAACAGAACCAGACAGAGAGACGCACCCCCCACACACACACCTCAGAGGCCACTGTGTGGGTAGACAGACCAAGCCTAGAGAAATGATGGGGAAAGAGTGGTGGGAGACAGGAGGAAGGCCTTATGCCAAACCAGGAACCCTGCTCTGGCCTCCTGGATAACAAGGAGGCAAATGTGCCTGAGAAAACACAAGCTAGACAAGCAGTCCCTGATGATCCTGAGTCCCACCCCATCCTAAAGATTAGCTACAGAAAGATGACAGGATTCCCAACATTGACCCAAATAATAGGTCCTGGTGACCTACTCTCTCAAGGGCAAGCTGTAGATCACCCCAGTGGCCACTCAGCAAAGTGCAGAAAATTGTTCTGGAAAGCCAAGGTAGCTCTGTGCCGGGTGAAAGTCAAACAGGTCAGAGGAGCAATGAAGGTAGATAAGCCCCTCTTGGTGTCAGCCCGCACCTCCGATTGGCAGTAACTGAGACCATGTCTCTGGTACAAAAATAGAAATGCAGATCGAGAGCCCAGAAATGACTCTGATGACAAACACACACAGAAGAGGAAAGAGTCAACAAAGCAGGCATCTTAAACGACGGGAAGGGCAGGGTGCCTGGAGAGACAGCTGGTGCGTCTCCAAGAAAAAATGTTTAATTTGTTAGATTCCATTCGGCTCGAACATTTTTTTGAGCACCAGCTGGATTCCAGGTTCTACCGCTATAAAGACAAACGAGAGAGAGTCCCTGCCTCAGGGAGCTCAGTCTGAGAGGGAAACTTAGCCCAGGGTCATACAATTCTGGGTGGGAATCCTGGTTTTGCCCCTTATTAGCTGAGTGACCCTGGCAATTTTGTAACTGACCTGAGATTCCAGATGTCCTCACTATAAAACTGGTTTATAAACAGCACCTCTTCCATAGAGTTGCTATAAGACTAAATGAGCCTGGCTGGCGTGACTCGTGACTCAGTGGTTGAGCATCGACCTATGAACCAGGAGGTCACGGTTCAATTCCAAGTCAGGGCACATGGCCAGGTTGCATGCTCAAACCCAATGGGGGGCATGCAGGAGGCAGCCAATTAATGATTTTCTCTCATCATTGATGTTTCTCCCTCTCCCTTCACTCTCTGAAATCAATATTATATATATACATATATATATATACACTAAATGAAAGAAAGTATGTAAAATGTACAGTGTCTGTATTCAATAAGCAGTAATTCTTATTATTGGGAAGCATCCTTGGAAACAAAGTTTGATGAGAGTTAGAGGAAACAGGCCTGTGGCACGGGGAGTAGGAGATTAACAGCTCTGGAGAGTGGCAGGGACCTGCTCAGGATTTAAAAGGTGAATGGGGCGGGGAGGAGGGGGGTTGGCCAGTATTGTTCTGTGGTTAGAGTGTCAGCCTGTGCCCTGAAAGGTCATGGGTTTGCTTCCCAGTCAAGGGCACATACCTGGGTTGCAGGTTCAATTCCCGGTTCTGTCAGGGCACATTTGGGAGGCAACTGACCGATGTTTCTCTCTCACATTGGCGTTCCTCTCCCTCTCCCTCTCTCTCTCACTTCCCTCCTCCCTCCCTCCCTCCCACTCTCTCTAAAAATCAAGGAGAGGCCCTAGCCGGTCTGGCTCAGTAGATAGAGTGTCGGCCTTTGGACTAAAGGGTCTGGGATTCAATTCTAGTCAAGGGCAGGCTCCTTGGTTACAGGCTCCTCCCAGGTCTGGGCCCTGGTCAGGGCTTGTGCAGGAGGAAACCAATGTTTCTCTCACATCCATGTTTCTCTCTGTCTTTCCCTCTCTCTTCTACTCTCCCTAAAAAAATCAATGGAAAAATAGCCTCAGGTGAGGATTAACAAAATCAATGGGGGGGGGGGATATCCTTGGGTGAGGATTAACAACAAAAAAGGTGAATGGAGGGAATTTATCCAGCAAAGGGTATAGAGGTAAATTCCAGGCTGAAAGAACAGTATCTGCAAAAGCATGGAGACCTGGCGTACCAGGGAAAACAAGCAGCTGGAGGGGCAGGTGTGGCCAACCCAGAGGCAAGGGAAGGGGTGAGGGCCGCGTTGAGGCTATGCAGAGGGACTGGAGCACAGAAACCACAGGTAGGGCACAAAGCACAAGGTGTGGCTCGGAGAGGGCAAGAACAAGAGCAGCAGGAAAGGGAAGCAATTCTGTCCGAGAGACACAGACGGTGCCAAGCAGACTAAGGAAATGGGAAGTGAGAAAGGGGCATGACCTTGGGCCTCTTAGGTGGGGGTGAGCTGGAAATGGACTCTGGTGGCCTCTGTAGGCTGAGTTGGCGAGCAGCACCCGGCCTGTACCCCAGCTCCCACCTGATATTGTCGATCCAGCAGTCAATGATGACAGGCAGCAGCAGTTCGAGGTTCAGCCAGAGCGTGAAGTAGCTGTCCGTCTTCTTGGAGCAGAGATAGTGCACGACCTTCGGCTTGTCCAGCTTTGCCTCCAGCTGGTTGCCCAAATCGCCAGGCACTACAGTGGGGCACAGAACATGCATGAGGCCCTGGGCCCGACAGACTGGAGACCCTCAAGGCTTGAATCCAAAGGCCTCTACCGTCCTAGGCAGGGCTTTGTCCACTCTAACCGGATTGGGAAACTGGACAGAGCACTGAGCCACTGAACCAGCCAAAGGAGAAAGCACTGTAGAGGACGGCAATGAACAGAAACACGACTGGAAGAAGCTCATACTGGCACCTGCTGACCTACTGAGGTCCCCAGGCTTTGCTAAAGGCCAGAGTCCAGTAGGTTCCAAAGGACAGGCCATCTGCAGAGCCCTAGCAGCTGGGTACACATGGACCAAGCACTGGAGATGGCTACCCTGAAACAACACACCATTCTGGTCATAGCTAGTGTGGGATCGGGGAGACTAGGCCTAAAGGGTAACTTCTCTCTACCTGAACTGGCCGATTGATTCCACAAAGAGCCCTGGGGAGCCTTGTGACACTCAACTCGATCCCCACTGCTTCACTGCCCAACATTCAAGGCCTTTATTTTTATGATTTTAATCCTCATCTGTTTATTGACGAGAGAGAGAGAGAGGAAGAAAGGAAGAAAAGAAGGAAAGAAAAGGAAAGAGAAGAGAAGAGAAGAAAAGAAAAGAAAAGAAAAAAGAAAAGAAAAGAAAAGAAACCGATTGGTTGCCTCCTGTGCACATGCTGACTGGGGGCTGACCCTGCAACCTAGGTATGCTTCCTGACCAGGAATCGAACCCCCAACCTTTTGGTTTATGGGACGACGTTCCAAACAACTAAGCCACCCAACCAAGGTAGCATTCAAGGCCTTTTAGAGTCTATTTACTCCCAGTGACCTTTCAGGCCTCACCTGCTCCCACATGCCATGCTCTCAGCACCTCCCATATTCATCCTTATTTAAGATCCATAATCACTAAGAGAACAACCAGTGCTTGGCTCTCCTTGGCATTCACTGGGCTTGGACTATGAACCCAGCCCTGCAAAGGGCATGCCCTCCCTGTGCACCATTTCACAATGTCCTGGGGGCAGCCACGGGAGGCAGTTGTAGCACCTGCCTTCACCTCCCTTCAAGCTGTGGGTGCAGAAGTGGGGAGTCCCCCGCATGACAGGCCTGTGGACTGGGCAGGGGAAGACAGAGACCTCGGTCATTATCTCCACCATGGGAAATGGCTGAAAGAGGAAGCCACCAGTTCTGCTTTGTCTGGATGCCTTTCACACTGGACAGGCTGTGTGGCCTCTAAAAATAGCAGTGGTCACTTCCTCAGACCTTGAGCCTAGAACTAGGATAAAAGCCATCCACGTGCCTTTCACCTCAAATAACAGTGGGAGAGAACATCCTTATTATGCCCACTTTATAGATGAGGACTCTGAGTCTGGGAGAGGTAGAAATGGCTTACTACAGTCCCTTCCCCCTGCTCAGGGTCTTCTTCTGCGTCACTTCTCTGGCCTCTGCTTCCTCTACTGTCCATTTGAGCCCCACCCATTGAGGCTGGTCATCTCCAGATTACTGATCTGTGACCAGGAACAGCTTGTCCACTGCCAGCCATGGGGTTTCCCAGGATTAATACCAACTGCCTCACTCCCTGGGCAGGTTAAGATTCCCATTGCTGCCGTAACCGGTTTGGCTCAGTGGATGGAGTGTCGGCCTGCGGACTGAAAGGTCCCAGGTTCGATTCCGGTCAAGGGCATGTACCTTGGTTACAGGCACATCCCCAGTAGGAGGTGTGCAGGAGGCAGCTGATCGATGTTTCTCTCTCATCGATGTTTCTAACTCTCTCTCTCTCTCCCTTCCTCTCTGTAAAATCAATAAAAAAAAAATATTAAAAAAAAAAGATTCCCGCCGAAACCGGTTTGGCTCAGTGGATAGAGCGTCGGCCTGCGGACTGAAAGGTCCCAGGTTCGATTCCGGTCAAGGGCATGTACCCGGGTTGCGGGCACATCCCCGGTGGGGGATGTGCAGAAAGGCAGCTGATCGATGTTTCTCTCTCATCGATGTTTCTGACTCTCTATCCCTCTCCCTTCCTCTCTGTAAAAAATCAATAAAATATATTTTTATAAAAAAAAAAAAGATTCCCATTGCTCTGTCACCTTGGGAAGGGACTGAGCTCCTCTGATCCATCTAGGATAACTGAGAACGGAATGACTGCATGAGTTAGCACTCAATCCAGGAGAAAAGGCTGCAATCCTTTCG